TGCCGGTGCCCCTCACTCCCGACCCGTAGCCCCTGCTAGCCCAGCCCTGGGCTCCCCCCCAGCTCTGCCGGTGCCCCTCACTCCCGACCCGTAGCCCCTGCTAGCCCAGCCCTGGGCTCCCCCCCAGCTCTGCCGGTGCCCCTCACTCCCGACCCGCAGCCTCTGCTAGCCCAGCCCTGCCGCCCCCCAGCTCTGCCGGTGCCCCTCACTTCCGACCCGCAGCCCCTGCTAGCCCAGCCTTCCCCACCCCCAGCTCTGCCGGCGCCCCTCACTCCCGACCCGCAGCCCCTGCTAGCCTGGCCCCGGGCTCTTCCCCCTGCCCAGACGGTGCCCCCTGCTCCTCCCCGGAGCTCACACGCCAGCCGCTGCCCTATCTCCTCTCGCTCTGACTCGCCGGGTCCCACCAGCGCCACTTCCTGCTTTCACTTTGCAGGTGGCGAGTGGCTGCCTGGGGAGGCGGCCCGGGGTGCCCTCCCGCCCGGCACCTCTCCCCTCCCCACCCCCGGGCAGGGTCCCCCCAGAGGCTGGCACAGGTAGGAGGCATTTGGCTGCCCCAGGGCCGGGTGGGGCAGAGACAGGCTGGTGGGCTCCTGCTGCAGTTGCTCGGCTGGTGGCTGGCACCGGGCACAGGGCACGGTGCCCAGGCAGCAGCTGGGGATGGGAGAGGCCCCCGCCCCCATGTCTCCAAACCGGAGGAAGCCGGATCCCACCGGCACCTGGGGGAGCCCATCTGGGAACATGGCTCAGGCTGGGCCGGCGCCTGAAGCCGGCACCGTCCCTCCCAGGGGCTTGGGGAGCCCCCCCCCCAGCACCCCTACGCCCCGGGGCTAGAGCAGGACGCGAGCACTCACCCGGGCAAGGAGATCAGCTTTCAGGAGATCCCAAAGCCCAGGGGCAGCGTGCGGTGGGGGCTGAGGGTAGGGTGACCAGGTGTCTGGTTTTCGACCAGAACATGCGATGGAAAAGGGATCCTGGCGGCTCCGGTCAGCGCCGCTGACTGTCCGGTTGGCAGCACCGTGCAGCAGGGCTGGCAGGCTCCCGAGAAGCAGCTGGCATGTCCCCACTCTGGCTCCTACGCGTAGGGGCAACCAGGGGGCTCTGCACGCTGCCCCCGCAGCTCCCATTGGCTGGGAACTGTGGCCAATTGGAGCTGTGGGGGCGGTGCCTGCGGACGGGGCAGTGCACGGAGCTGCCTGGCTGTGCCTCCACATAGGAGCCGGACGGGGGACATGCCGGAGGGTGGGGAGAGGAAGGGGAGATGGAGTGAGCAGGGGACAAGGCCTCGGAGAAGGGTCAAGGAGAAGATGCCAGCGCTGTAGCTGCTGTAGGCAGCTTGGGGTCCTTACCCCTGAGCCTGGAGCAGGGCAGGGCTCTGCGGGCGCAGTGCACCCCCGTCTGCCTTGCTGGGAGGACTAGGCTGGTAGCTGGCCATAGCCCCAGCGGTGACACCACTAGAGTCCAGGGAGAAGGACCATCCACCCACAGGCTTCAGGGCTGGGGCTGAGCGCCAGCTGGGGTCAGGAAGGACTCGACCCCAGGGCTTGGGCTGCCTGGCCTTGTTGAAGTGTCCAGCATTGGCCTCCCTTGGTGATGGGACACTGGAGCAGACAGGCGTTCGGGTCCTGGATCACGGAGCTTCTCGGGGCTCTCGCTGGCCGGCTCCCCTGGGCGAGGCCTCGCATCCCGTGGTGCCATCTGGCCCGAGCTGGGCACAGGCCATGGCTGAGAGGGACCCAAACGGACGTACCCGGCTCTGGTGCCCCCGGACATCAGTCAAGCTGGGCTCGGGCTCTGCAGTGTCCTTGTGATCCAGCATCAAAGAGCCCCCCCATCCCTACTAGCCCCCCTTTCTCCAGCCCCCTGCCCAGGAGCTCCCGCAGAGCCAGCTCTCTCTCGCCTCCCCCCAGCTCCTGCTTTGCGTCTGTTTCATTTCCCCCAGGGCAGTTATTTCGGGCCCAGCCGCTCGGCTCCTCCTGGAATGGGGGCGCTGGGGTTCCTGTTTGCCGCGCACAGCTCACGCCCTGCACTTCCTCCTTGGGAAGCAGCGACTCCCATGTGAAAGGAGAAGCAGCCTGCGAGCGGCAGGGAGAACCGAGCCGGGCCCTGCTGCCAGGAGAGGGACGCTAGCAGACTGCTCAGCCTCCAGCCCCCCGGCCGCCCCCCAGAGATCCCCACCCAGGTGAGTCTCACCCCCGGTTTGACAGAGCCGGAGACGCAGACGGGACTGGCCCGGGGTCACCCAGCAGTAGAACCCAGGAGTCCTGCATCCCCGTCCCCTGCTTTAACCACTAGCCATGCTGCCCTCCCCAGAGAAACCCTCTGAACCTGGCGGGCAACCCTCCGTGGAAGCAGAAACCGACCCGACGTTCCTCTCCCGTGGGAAAGGGCTGAGCTCAGAGTGGGATTCTTGGCAGGGCTGGCGGGGGGGGAGGTCCCATTTGGATGATTATTAAGATTCTCCTTGTGGGACAGCCTGGGAGCCCCCACGCCCTGGGTTCAGAGAACTGCTTCCCGAGGGGGCGTTGCCAGCTCCAGCGAGCACCGGGGGGGGGGGGGGACGCTGACGGAGCAGGTTGTATCACTAGCTCAGGGGCGTATCAGCCTGGCTCCCCCCCGGTCACCAGGGACTGCTCCGTTTGCGGGTGAGAAATAACGGAGGACGAACATTTCTACCCGTCCGGGGGACGTGCCCCTCTCCGGAAAGACCCCGCTGGCCTTTGTCCCACTCTCCTGCGCTCTCCCAGCCGTGCCCATGGCGCTCAATGCCCGCTTTGTTCTGGGCTTCGCCTGCCCGCCACACGTCCTGCCGTTCCTCCCGGCAATGCGGGGACATCCGGACAAGCTGCTGGGGCGGGCCCCGGCCTGGCAACACGTGGGGGCTGCGGCCGCGTTCACTGACACCCCTGACCTCCGGCGATTGCTGGCTCCAGCCGGGAGGGTGCAGCGTGGCCCAGGGCTTGGGATGCTTTGCCCGACCCGTGCGCTGGACACACAGCTCCTGCCGGAGAGGCGGGAGCTTTCTCTGTGGGCCTGGTCCGGACGTCGGTGCCTCGGACAGGGTGCCAGCAGGATGCCAGGAGTCGCGCCAGGTTTCCCGAGAGCAGAACCTGCCCCTGGGCCGGTTCAAAGCCCCACGGGGCTTTGCAGCCCTTCACCCCCCCCCCGGGGCTGACTGAGCTCCCAGCACTTCCCTGCGTGCGGGTCACTATTAGTCACCTTTGCTCCGTGCGTGCGGCACTGGGGAACTGGGGCTTTCCAGGCAGGTGGGAGGCAGGGAGAGGAGCCGGATGGGGCAGCAGCCGGCAGCATCGCGGTGACTTGGGGTGCAGCCTGCTCTGTTGGGGGAGTTGGGGGGCCCCAGGCCTCTCTGGGGTGCAGGGTCTGCTGGAGGGAGGGAGGGAGCTCATGGATAGGCTGGTGGCCACAGCATTCGGCCTGGGCTTCTGTAAACCCCTCCCTCCCCCCAGAACAGTGTGACAACCCCCAACCAGTGGCTGGGTCAGGATAAGGACCTACTACTGCTCCCAGCTAGTGGAGCTGCTCTCTCAGCTCTGAGCTACAGGGCGGGGTTATGATGCTGGTTGGTGCTCTTTGCATGGCACGGCCTGCTGAGGTGCTGGTCGGGGGGGTGGGGGTCACGCCAGCTCCTGGGGCCCCTCTCAGACCACAGCTCGGCTGGGAGACGCCACGTTCTTGGTGCCCTCTGGGTCAGGTGTGGGAGGGACTCTCCCATGCCCAGGTGCATCGTGGGCATTGGCCGTGGCTGGGCGGAGTGGGCCGGGGGCCAATGGGGTGATCACATCTCACCCCCAGGGAGTGCAGCGTGGGGCCAGTCTGTGCCCGGGACCTCAGAGGGCTGGACGGTCACTCAGAGCCTGCCTGGCTGGAGCAAGGGGTGGGCAGAGGGGGAGTCCCGGGGCGGGGAGAGAGGAAAAGAGGGGACGGGGGGGCTCCTGCCCCTTTTCCTGCAGCCCAGACCACCCACGGGCTGGAGGCAGGACCCAGCCCAACAACGTGACACTGTCGGGCCCTGCAGCGTGGCATGATGGCGGGACATCACCGCGCTGTGCCGTTACGCTGGCACCACCCCATGCCACGCCACTCCAGCCCCCCGACCCCCCAGAGCCACGACACGGCCGCTCCCCAGCGATAGTCACGTTTCACAGAGGAGTCAGCTGCCAGGGTGGCATCTCCCCCTCCCCGCCCCCGGGCAGAGACAGACCCACAGCGCCATCTCGCCCCCCCCTAACCCCACCCTGTCCCGTTGCAGGTGCCATGGCCGGAGCCGGAGAACTCCTCCGCATGATCCAGGACTTAAGGGGTAAGTGTGACAGCGACCCCCTCCCTGCCTGGGGGGGACACACCCCGCCGGGCGCTGCGCTGGCACCAGTGCCAGGACGGCAGGCGGCTGCCGGCTCCCGGTGTCAGGGGCACAGGCTGGCCCAGCCCGGAGAGCTGCCCTGCAGTGCAGAATCGCTGGGGTGTGGGAACGCCAGGCCCCAGAGCGCCCCCCGCCGTGGGGGGTGGGGGGGAGCTAAGAAGGGGCCTCTGGGAACTCGCAACTGGCAGGTGGGTCAGGCCAGCATGCAGGGGGGGGGAAGGGGAGATGGGTCAGGCCAGCGTGTGAGAGGGGGGAAGGGGAGGTGGGTCAGGCCAGCGTGCGAGGGGGGTGGAAGGGGAGATGGGTCAGGCCAGCAGTGGCGAGGGGGGTGGAAGGGGAGATGTTTCAGGCCAGCATGTGGGGGTGGG